CTGGTATGTGGGGCATTACATTCTCATTATAACTTTGTTATTTTGAAAATTACATCTCTTATCACTTCTATTTTGACTTCTAATGCGGTGGAAGAGAGAGAATATAAAGAAATAGAAAGAGCAAGAATGAGAAGTGAGGAGTATGATTCATTGTACATCATTACAAATGTTCCATTAGAATTCTCAAGTATTTTTTTTTTTAATTACATTTTATCAACTTTTTGGCAGTAAATGGTTCAATTAATCTTAAAACTCATTTTTCTAGTATCAAAACCAAAATAAAAAATTATTGTCGATGTCAACCTCACAACGTGAAGCAATGAATGCTAATTCTATAGTGTATATATATTAAAAAATAAACTTATGTCTAAAATTGACGACACATGACAAAAATGTAGCAATCATTGTGCGTGCGGCTTCATCTTCCTCGAACACTGCTAAAAAAATATTTTAAAATAATTAAAAGGATAAATTACACTTTACCCATTTAAAATTTTACTTATTTCTCACTTTGCCCTTTTAAATTTGATTTGGTTTACTTTGTACCTACATATTTGCAATCCTTTTCACTTTAACTTTTTAAATTTGATTTTTTTCACTTTAATCCTTCATATTTGTAATTTTTCTACTTTACTTCTAAACTAACTTCTATCAAAAAAATAATAGAATCTGTCATATCACCAACATATCAACTCCATGTGTATTGTAAAAAATTCACTAAAGATGGAAAAAATGAAAAAAAAACAAACAAAAAAATTGAGTTTGCTTTTTAGTCTTAGTGAATTTTTTTTTAAAAATTTATTCAAAAACATTATTACATTATAAATGCATCCAGATTAGATGCACCTAAAAAAAGAAAAACAAATTTAACTAAAAAAAAAAAAATTTACTAAAGACGAAAAAAATGAAAATTATTTATTCAAACACCTGTATTGTCAATTTTGAAATGAAAAGTTTACTATCGTTTTTTTCATCTTTAGGGAACTTTTTTTTTCTTTTTTTAGTTAAATTTGTTTTTATTTTTTTAGGTGCATCTAATCTAAATGCATCTATAATGAAATATTATATATGAATAAATTTGAAAAAAAAAGTTTACTAAAGACTAAAAAAAATTCTAATTTTTTTGTTTTCTATTTTTCATTTTTTTGCATCTTTACGCTGTGTTTGGTTTGGGGATTTGGGAAGGGATTTGGAAAGGGAAAGGAAAAATGTGTGTAAAATTAAGTGAAATATAGTATGTTTTATTTACATTTCACCTACCTTTTCTATTTTCCTTTCCAAATCCCTGCTCAAATCCCCCAACCAAACACAGCATTAGTGAATTTTTTACATCACACATGGAGCTGATGTGTTGGTGATGTAACAGATTCTGTTAGTTTTTTGGATGGAAGTTAGTTTAGGAGTAAAGTGGAAAGGATTGTAAACATAAAGGGCCAAAGTGAAAAAAATCAAACTTAAAGGGTCAAAGTGAGAAATTAGTGAAACTTTAGGAGGGCAACGTGTAATTGACCTTAATTAAAATGTTACAAATATATATAAAATGTTACAAATATATATAATTAATAAAAATATTTTAAAATTAATAATATATATATTCACCTTGTTCGGTGTTCACTATTTTTCTAAAAATTAAATTTTATATTTTTCGTTTTTTTTTTTGTGTTTTTTAAAAATATTTGAAGTATTTTTTTTAAATTTTTTTTGATGCACCTAATGTAGATATATTTAAAAAGTATAACATTTTCACTAAATACAAAAAATGTAAAAGATAGATATATTTTTGTATTCTTGTGTATTTATTAGAAATTTTTTTTTATATTTTTCACATATATTTTACTTTTTTTATATATTAAATGCATCTAAAAAATAAAAAATAAAAATATTAAAAATATTAAAAAATACGAAAATAAAAAATTTAATTTTGAAAAAATTAATAAAAACCAAGTAAAGTGATTATTTATTATTATTATTATTTTATGCCTTACAAACCCTTGTTCAGGGACGGACGCATGATTCTAATATCGAGGGGACGAGTGTATATGCAATCAAAAAATTTGTAATGAGCATGTGATATACAATTTCAATTTCTACCCAAATATCACAAAAATATATAATTAGATATTTCTATTCATCGCATATAATTACAAAATATTATCAAAATACAATTGGATATGTTATAGTAAATCCATATTAATTTTCAAAAAAGCAACTATTTACTTTACATATCTACTTAGGCATCTAAAGTTGTGGTTGGCGTTCTTTCATAATATAAAAAGCATCTATGATGGAATCTACATCAAAATCTCGAGTAATGTCTTTGTTAACATATGTTAACAAGTAGCTTGAAAGAAAATCATCCTCCATCCTGTTGTGCAAGCTAGTCTTTACAATTTTCATGGCTGAAAATGCACAATCCGTTATTGCCGTAGAAACTAAAGAAAATGCACCATTGACCACAAATATTTTGTACGTTCTGCGAGTTCTTTTCCAAGCTTTCATATCATTTACACACACAGAGAGAGAGAGAGAGAGAGTGGAGAAGGGGACTTAAAGTAGAGAAGGGGGCTTAAACAATTAGGTTAATAAGAATTTCGAGACATTTTCAAGCGTGGGACAGGTTACACGTGAGTAGTATTTTTATTTTTTTTATTTAGTTATAACCAAACAATTAAAAAATTTAGGCCCTAATCAGACGAAAAAGACTTTAACATATTAACAAATAAATTTTCAATTATTTTAACATTACTAAATTTAAAATAAAAAGTAATTATACTTAAAATATAAGTTATTATTATTATTTTTAGTATTTATCAAAAAAAATAATTAAAATTTTATATTTTAAAGTAAAAAATTTAGGGGGTGGCGGTTCTTAAATTTTTTGCAAAAACTTTGGGATGGCGAACAATCAATATAATTTAAAAATATTTATAATTTTAATACTATATCTAAGAAATTTTTTTAAAATTTTAAAGGGACGGTCGCGACTGCCAGCCTCCCTGGTCCATCCCTGCCCTTCTTAACAAGACTAGTATTATTTTATGATGATGAAAGATGAAAATTTTGTTAATGAGACCTCCAAATGGTGGGGTTGAATCTGGACATGAAATGGGCAATGTTCATTATGGATTTACGTCACTTTTTCCAATGTGATGAATAATATTTGGTGCATCTTTGAATTTAAGTAAGGAAGATTCCTAGAAGTATTGGCACAATCAGACAATAAACCATTGCCAACCCACTTTCCATCTTTTTGATACAAAAGTCCATTTTTATAAAGGTGAAAGAGATGTCAGCAGTGGTGATTTTGGCCACTCCACACTTGGCTAATTGAATTTGTTCTCCCATTGAAAAGACAATTTTATCCAAGTTCTAGGATCATAATCTTGAACACCTCTGACCTGATTTCGATTTTATTATTTACGTTAAGGTTTTCCTCCGACTATTGTGGAGAAACTCCTACAATCCTTCTCCGGTGGCAATCTATGATTCGACGCCACTTGTCACACAATTTAAAATTCATAATTTCTCATTCAATTCCACGATAACAGTCAACATTAATTAATTCTTTTAAAAAAATAACGTTAACTTATTTTAGGCCTTTATGCAATTAAATCTCTACTTGCTTGTTGGAAACACTTCGTATGCAATCTTATTTCAAAATTACTTAAGTTAAATATAAATTTATGTATGTTTATAAAAACTCAAGACTTCTATGAATTTGTGTTTAATTTATACATTTTTGTGAGATCACTTTCATTAATTTATAAAAATTTAAATAATTTTATGATAAGATTGCATACGGTGTGCATTGTATACTAGAGAATTATTTTCATTATCTCAATAATTTACTCTTATTTGAAGTGTCCATCAAATTGTAAATTAAACCGAACCATCAAGAATATATTTTGTTACTAATCTAACCATCATTTTTTTCTTTATGATAGATTTACATATAATCAATTATAAAAAAATATTTTAACCATACATATGCCCTGTTTGGTAGAGCTGTGGGAAAATACTTATAACTTATACCTAAACAGCTTATAGCTTATAATTATGAACATAAGCTGATTTCTGACTTATAAATTAAGCATCTCCTGCCACACTCAAAGAATAAGCTGATTTCTGACTTCTAAAAATGTATAAACTATAAGCTATAAGTTATAAGTTAAACCAAACACATCAAAATAATTTAAATTAAACTGAAAGCTGAAATAAGCAGCTTTTAAGCTGCACCAAACAGACACATATTAAACAATGAGACTCATTGCAAAAGAGATTGTTCAAACTAATATAATGCTTAATTATTTTTATGTAATTGGTTATGTATTGGTAGTATTATTGCTATAGGAGTGTGCGCGGTGCGATTTGGATGGTTTGAGAGTAAAATTACAAACTGAATAGCGGATTAACGGATTGGCAAATCGCGGTTTCGGTGGTTTTAGACAAATTGACGAATTCAAGAATATTCTAACCAATTATCAAGTATTTGCATAATATATAATACTAATTTGCATAATATTTTATATATATAATACAAATTAATTTTACATAATATGTTATATATATAATTTGTAACAAATTTCATATTTTAAATCTCTAACACTCATTTGTACTTTGATATGTCATTGGAAATTAAAAATATGTATATAATAACTATAGCGGAATGAAACGGTTTAAAAGACAGATTTTAAATTTTAAAGTTCAATCCGCAAATAATAGATAGAACGGTACAGATTGCTAAAGTCAATCCAACTTTAATAAATTAAACAATATTTTACACGAACCTAAAATTGCACATATAAACAAAAGCAAAAGCATGCTTCATGCGGCACTCCCATGGAGGACATTTTTGATTTTCTACACTCACTTTTGTTGAAAGAGGAGAGTGCCCCAATCCATAAAAAGCCATCACAAAAGACCAGGAGAATAGTGTCCAGGTTCATCCTCCCAAATTTACGCAAACAGACCTTATATAATCCAACATGCGATCTGTCCAACTTCCAAAAATTCATATCAGAATCAGACGTACTTCACTGTTTCATGTGATAAGATATATCTTTCATTCTTTTTTCCAACCTGCCTTAATTTTTATTACAAAAATACCCTTCACTTTCTCCCTCTCCAAACAAAACCAGAGGAGAGAGAGAGAGAAACAGAAACAGAGAGATTTCAGTGGCCATCTCCAATGGCGTCCATGGCCCTCCTTTTCAACAAATCCCCAAACCCGTCTCTCTCCTTCCCCAAAACCCACAAAACCCATTACTCCACACATCTCAAACTCCCTCTCTCTCATCATTCAAGCCCTAAAACCCACCGAAAGATCCGAATTTCATGCGGGTTGATCGACCCGGATGGGGGGAAACTCGTTGAGCTATTCGTTTCGGAGTCAGAGAGGGACGAGAAGAAGAGAAAAGCCGTCTCTTTGCCGAGAATCAAGCTGTCTCGGATCGATCTCCAGTGGGTTCATGTCCTCAGCGAAGGCTGGGCTAGCCCTCTCAAGGGCTTCATGAGAGAATCCGAGTTCCTCCAAACTCTTCATTTCAATTCGCTCCGACTCGGTGACGGCTCAGTCGTCAACATGTCGGTGCCGATTGTTCTCGCCGTCGACGACTCGCAAAAGGGTCGGATCGGTGAGTCCACCTCGGTGGCTCTGGTCGACTCGGGTGATGATCCGGTGGCGATTCTTAGCAAGTAAGCTTCTTTTCTTTTCTTTTTTTCTTTTTTTTTTTTCATGTTTAATTAAATCGCATATATGAAAGTATTGTAATGTGATTGATATTGGGTATGTCATGATTTTGTTGTTTTTTTGTGGTTACCATGCGAATTGTGTTATTCTTTTGGGTTAAATTAGATTGGCACAGTGAAATGTTATTTATGAAGATCATGCAGTTCCTAAATTACATGTTAAATTGTGTAAAATTCAAATTTTCAGTGTATGTTCTCACCAATTTTTATTTTTATTTTTAAAATTTTCTTATGTTGAGATTTGGGATTAGTGAAAAGTTTAGAAGGTTGATTAGTATTCCAGATAGTTAGAGTGGATAATGGATCATGGGGATGAGAGTTGCAAAGTTGATAAGTATTCAAAATTGGAAAATGATTTGCAAACAAAATTTTACATAGAAATCCCACCAGAATGACATGACAATGACATTTTCGAAACAATAAGCCATTTTGATGGGTTTTTTTGGTTTGAAATGAATGGATACAAATCTGCCACGTCTTTTTATATGATTTTTCTGTTTGTATATCTTTACTCTTCAGAATAATAGCGTACACGATGGAGTGATGGTGATAGAGTTGCAGAGATGGATTAACTCTGATTTTGTCTTTGTTTCACATTATAGAGGCCATGAAAAAGATAACTGTCTGATCAGTGCACTGTTGCTAATGGCAATATTGATCAATTCACTATCCTTCCCTTGAATCTTGTTTTTATATGTCGGCTACTTGTTCAATATATTTTTGTTATATCACATGATGTATTCAATTCGTTGTCATACATTTTAAAATCATAAAATAAATAAATAAATAAAAATTCAGAGACTTTCTATGGATGTTTCATATTTTAGACTCTAAATTAGGTATATCAGAGAAGATAATGAAATCTTTCCTTTAAATTTGTTTTTTCAAAGGTACCACTTTCTCACAGATAGGGAGAGGCCCTACCATAAATTTAGCAAAATTATGAAATTTTAAATATGCATTTACTATTGAAATCATGCAGATTCCAAACACCTTTGAAGTGACCATTTTACTGTGTCGAATTTTAGTTGACTTATATATGCCTTCTAAGGACATGACATACGCTTGATTTTGTAAAAAACGAGACGTGTGTTGCGGCTGGATGTTGATGCTGGACATTGACTTCATATAATGTGATATGCCTCTGCTAGTAACATTATCTGTCGTATTGGATTGTAATCCCTGAAGAGTGAAAGGGACCTAGTTGATGTCTGTCCTGTAAAAGTATCAATCCATTTGACGATAATATGTCACGTCAATTTTGTTTTTAGTTTTCCGTATTTCTGTTTGGGGAGACCTATATCATGTAAAAGTCAGTTGGTAGTTAAGTTATTAGAGTTCTGGCTGGCTGCCTATCTCCTAGTTAGACTCATGCAAAAAATTGAACTTTGAGCAATTGCTTTTAATTGGCATTCTATTATGCATTATTTGGGTAGCAATGACTTGTCGATGGGGAATGAGAAGGAATAGAATGAAGTTTAAGGATTTATATTAATGTGATTTTCTTATTTATAATTTATAGGTAATATTATTTTATTTAATCTTTATTTATCAAAAAAAATATTTTTTATTTAATCTTTAATTATGGTAGTTTTATTTTTGGTTACTTTTAATTAGGGTTTTCTTGAATGCCTATAAATAGGCCTTCTATGTAATGGTTTAGCTTTAGCAGACTTTTGACATTGAGAATAAAATTTTGGATATTGAGATCAGATAATTAGGGTTTCTTTTATTTTGTGTGGCCTTTCTTTCATTTTCTTTGTGTTGTTCCATTCTTGCTGACTGTCCGGCATCACTTGGTTTGTAATTTTGGGAGAGCTTTGAGGTTGGCACCGTAGGAAAACATATTCAGCTTATGATACTTGGTTGAGAATGCAAAATATCTTGCATGGTTGCACTTCGTGTACAGTTTGTTTTGTAGAAAACCCTATTTCACCAATGTTTTGGGAATCCAAACATGGCATTGTTGTATCAATTTACTTCATTATCTTTAGGATGAATTGTAAAAAAGAAAAGAAAAAAGAACTAGTGGTCTGAGAGTTGGGTGTGGGTGCATATCTAGGGGTCGGACGCATGAATCTCCAAATTTTAGGATATGCAAGCTCAACCAAAAAAATAAAATAAAATAAAAAAATCCAAAATTTAGATTTGGGTACAGGGATACGTTGTCTAATTGGGAAAAAAACAATTTTATATTATAAACTTTTTTTCATGATATATCATATTATATACATTGATTTACTATAATTTTAATATATTGGCAATGGTTTTACTCCAAAATTTATTTATTTTTCTGTATGTGCTGATGATCTCAGAACTTTTATTGATTAGATCAGGCATAATTCAATTTAGTCTGTGACTTTTTAATCCAATGGCTTGCCAAAAGTTTCTAATATGTTTTTGCTTTGTGCAATTGATTCTATAGTATTGAGATCTACAAGCATAACAAAGAAGAACGTATAGCGAGAACTTGGGGTACAACTGCCCCCGGTTTACCATACGTTGAGGAAGCCATAACCGGTGCTGGAAACTGGCTGATCGGAGGTGACTTGGAGGTGATACAGCCAATCAAGTACTGCGATGGTCTTGATCGGTTTCGACTGTCTCCTGCGGCACTCCGTGAGGAATTTACAAGGCGAAATGCTGATGCGGTGTTTGCTTTCCAGCTCAGGAATCCTGTGCACAATGGTCATGCTTTGCTGATGACTGACACACGTCGTCGGCTTCTTGAGATGGGTTATAAGAATCCTGTGCTTTTGCTTCACCCATTAGGAGGGTACACCAAGGCTGATGATGTTCCCCTTAGTTGGCGAATGAAGCAGCATGAAAAGGTTTCATATATTCTTTTTCTTTGACCACTTACCATATTTTCTTCTTTTATGGATTGATGGTTTGTTTGGTTATGGCCACAACACCTGGGAATATGGAGATGACAGAAGCAAAATTAGGGTCCTACTTGGTTGCGTTTTTTTGTTTTTTGTTTTCATTTTTTGCAAAACAAAGAACACTTGTTTGGAGAACCATTTCCAAAAAAAATTTCCGAGTACATATTTTGAAAACAACTCACATTGTAATTAGGAAACATTCCAAAGTTGTTTTTGGATTTTAAAAAACTATTTTCAGACAAAAATGAAAATGATTAGGCTATGTTTGGATTATGGATTTGCTAGGGATTAGGAAAGGGAAAGGGAAAGGAAAAGGTGATGGAATGTAAACAAATTATAAGCTAATTTTTTTCTTCATTTCTCTCACATTTTCCTTTCCCTTTCTAGATCCTTACCCAAATTTATGATCCAAACACAACCTTAATCTTCTGACCTTTTCATTGCTTTGTTTATGCAAACATGAAAACACAACTAAACAGGCCCTAGGTGATTTTCCCTGGAGTTCCTTTCAAGGAAGTGGGATAATGTATTTTAGTTAAGGTTAAAATATCTTTAGTAGAAATACTTTACCACTTGCTGGTTTTGCAAAACTCTATGGTTTTCCCTCTCTCTCACCCCAGCATGCTCAGATGCACACAAAATTATTAGAAAACTACCAAAATTTATATTCTTGTTACTCAAATTCTTATTGGGGTTTGGGGAAAATGGGAGATCAGCTCTACCAATCATGCCTATCTCCTACCCGTATTTATTTTGCTTGACAATTTAACTGGTTTCTCAGGTTCTTGAAGATGGCGTTCTTGATCCTGAGACAACTGTGGTTTCTATATTCCCATCACCTATGCATTATGCTGGCCCCACTGAGGTGCAGTGGCATGCAAAGGCTCGGATTAATGCCGGGGCCAACTTTTATATTGTGGGTCGGGACCCAGCTGGCATGAGCCATCCAGTTGAGAAAAGAGATTTGTATGATGCCGACCATGGGAAGAAGGTGCTGAGCATGGCTCCTGGACTGGAGAGGCTAAACATCCTCCCTTTCAAGGTATACAACACAACCCACTCTAGCTGTTACAGTCTCCTTATATATATACATACCACTAGTGTCTTTTAAATTAGTAAGATCCCAAGTATTCATTAGTGTTATGTACAACTGCAGGTGGCTGCATATGATAAGACTCAGAGTAAGATGGCGTTCTTTGATCCCTTGAGGCCTCAAGATTTTCTCTTCATTTCAGGCACCAAGGTATATTTTCTGAACATAGTAGTGTCTTGGACCTGTTTGACAATGCTTAGTTGCAGCTTATTTGGCTTGAAATTTGAAATTCCAAACTTAGTCAGTTGTACTTTGAGATGCCTTTGTTAGGCTAGTCTGTTCGTTTAAGCTACAAGAGTTTTGCCATATGTTTTCTTCGTGAAATTGTGCATTTTTTCCTCTTTTGTGGGTTATTTTGGTTGGAGCAAAATGTTAAAGAGTTTTTGAGGATAGGTTTGAGGATATTGACACTTTATGGGATAAAGAGTGTGTTATTTATCCTCTTTTTGGGCTTTGGTTCCTTTTAAGAGGATTCCGTACTTTTTTATTTTTAGGGATTGGAGGGTGGTGTTCGATTTGTAGGTGGTGACTTTGATAAGTTTTTTTTTGTTTTTTGGGGGGGATCATTTTTTGGTGGACTCCTTGCCCTACTCCTTATACTTTTCTTTTCATTAACGTTATCTCTTATGTTGCTGATCAAATTTTTATTTATTTATTTATTAAAAAAAATGCATTCAAGTGTAAAAGCCTAATAAAACAAGAAAATAAGTGCACAAATAAGAAAATTGTAGGAGGATGGAAAATGCATTTCATTTTGGTGTGTTACATTCGTGCTCTTGCATGTGTAGTCGTCATCTGATTGGTTGCTTCATTTTGCAGATGCGAACACTAGCAAAAAACGGGGAGAATCCACCGGATGGATTTATGTGTCCCGGTGGTTGGGAAGTGTTGGTAGAATACTACAACAGTTTGGCTCCGGCCGGGAAAGGGAAAGTCCCTGAACCTGTACCAGCTTAAAAGGATTTGCTGTGTCAATAGACATTGACATCTGTTTGGGAGAAACTTAAATTTTATTTATCTCCAATGTGTGGTTGTTGAAATGTTGTAAAGTTTCTCTGTCCAGCTCTGGAAATAAATCATATGAGGCACTGGGTTCAGAGACACAAAACTTGGCCTCAACTTGTAAATAGAGCTCCAAAGATGGAAGCTTGAAATTGTGTACTTGTACCTGTGTGCACGCTGTATCATATTGGGATGTGATTTTACAAAAAGAAATTTGTTGATGGGTGCTTTTTAGAAGACAAAAAATCTATCTCCTATTTTTGTTTTGGAAAATATTTGAGTTCCTCAAAAAGTACCCGTAATTCTACCACAATGATATGTCCGAATTAGCTATGGTAGAAGAGATGCAAGCTTTGAGTAAAAATAACACTTAACAGGATGTGATTTTACAAAAAGAAATTTGTTGATGGGTGCTTTTTAGAAGACAAAAAATCTATCTCCTATTTTTGTTTTGGAAAATATTTGAGTTCCTCAAAAAGTACCCGTAATTCTACCACAATGATATGTCCGAATATGTGTCAACTTTTGATTTATTACACTTAATGATGATCGGTGAGTCTCTAACATTACTCATTTGTTTTTGGTGGTGGTGATTTGGGAGGCATTGAGAGATTAAAGAAGGAAAATTTCTGTGCAGTTTAAGTTTCAAAAAATAATTGCTATAAATAAATTGGCAGATTTTATAAATCTTAATAATTATAATTATAATTTTTTTTATAGATCTGTAATAATTTTTTGAAGTTAAATCACTGAATGATAGTTTTTCCACAAAAAAGAAAAAAAAGGGGGATAAATTATTACACACACTGTGAGGTTTACGAAAAGTTTAATATTTTTAATATAATTACATTGATTTTCTTTACATTTTTAATTTACACAATACTTATTTTTTATCAGTAATATGAATAAAAAGTTGAGGTCGTCATTTTTATATTAAAATATATATTTACTTTTATTTACAATGCGTGTATCTACTACTTGCATTAGTTTAGTTGCTTCAATTTTATTAAAAAAAAAAAAGAAAGTATAATTATATCAAAAGTATAAAATTATGAGTGTAATTTGCTTTAAAAATAAAGTCTGATTTTATTCACCTATTTAATAGTGGACCATCTTCGATTCTAATTGGTAAAGAATAATACTATATATATCAATTAATGTACTAATTAGTGTACTAATTGATGATGTGTCATAATTTAAGAGGTTTTTGGTATTTGTAATGTGATTAATGAGTGGAGTCAATAATAATGTCATAATTAGTATTGATATACTAGTTAATATACTAATTGGTATATATAGCACCACCGATTGGTAAAAGTAATAGAGTTTATATATTTTTTAACTTGGAATTGACATTTTTAAGGGTAGTGGCTAAAAGTCTAAAATTAAATTTTCTTTATTCAAAAGTTTAAGCATTTGATTTTCCTTTGTCCATAAAGACAAGTTTAGGTAAAATGGCCAAAATATCCTTCCTTATATATACCATATACACATTCTAAACCTTACACACACACACACATTCTCTCTCTCTCTCTCTCTCTCTCTCCAACCTCATACGGCAATGCCGATGCCTAGCCTCAGTGACTACCACAACCACCACTGCTGCCGTCACCACCCTTTTCCATCGCCGCCTTCTTTCTGTCTCTTCTCCTCTTCTCTTACCGATCATCGCCATCCTGTGTATCTCAGATCTCTCCCACCTCACACGGCAATGCCGATGCCTAGCCTCAGTGACTACCACAACCACCACTGCCGCCGTCACCACCCTTTTCCGTCGCCGCCTTCTCTCTCTCTCTTCTCCTCTTCTCTTACCGATCATCGCCATCCCGTGTATCTCAGATTTGAGATCTGTTGTCTTGTGTCTGAGGCGATGTCGTCGTGTATTTGAGAACTCAGATTTGCCATCGTGCCAAATCTTTGATGATCTTAGATCTACCTCGAAGGACTGATCCACCGTCGTGGCTTCTTCACATTCTCTTTCTCCTATGATGTCGCCTCCGCCTTCTCATAGCGCTCGAAGTCTTCTCCACGAGAACCAGTCCCTCGACGGCCAGTTTCAACCACCGACAACGACTTTCCACTTGAACAAGTCAGATCTTGATAAACTCGATCCAGATCTGTAACAACCCTCACTCTACTCTAGTCATGCTTGCATATATTACATGATCTTGTCTTGATATGTTGCATTTGCAAACCTTGATTTATCTTGCATAAGTGTTACTTGCATGTTTGTTCCTTGTTTGGTGTGTGTTTGGCCGAGGTCATCTTAAGCCTAGGTTACACCTTTGAACCTCTTGCACCTAGGATCACCTTGAAACCACTTTGGTTGGCCTCCACCTTCACCCCGGCATATTGGCCGAGATGTCATCATCTAGGGCGAGGTGTTCATCACCAAGGCCGAGATGTGTATTATCTAGGCCGAGATGCTATCCTTGCACCTAGTGATCTTGTTCCTGGACAGGTATGACCTAGACCGAGGTGTGGCACAGCTAGGCCAGGTGTTGTCCTTCCTAGCCGAGATCATTGTTACCTTACTTGCCGAAGCCTTGCCCTTAGCCGAAGTCATTACTCGCCGGAGTGCCCATGCCATCTTGCTTGTTGAATACACTTTGTCATAGTCTTGTCTTTTCACTCAGTTACATTTTTTAGGAGAACCAACCCGGTAGTGCCACGTGTCCGAGCTGAGTGTTAAATCAGCCGGCAGAGAGAGAAATGTGTCATTTTGTATCATATCTTGTTCTTGAGGAGAGAGAAGCTCTAGGAGAAGAAGAGAAGTTCTTAGAGGAGGAATAGATTTCCAAACTTGATCTTGGGTGATTGAACCGTTAGATTCAAGTTCTGAGGTTAGAATCTTAATCTACTCTTGTTGTTCTTATTGATCATCTAGCTGCATTGCATGATCGAACCTGATTTGCAAGCCATGCATCTATTTAAAGTTGGGTTTAGAAAGGGAAAGTAGCATTCATGTGTTCTTGAAGAAAAAGCCTTGTTTGATCCGAAAGTTTGCATTAAGATTCATGTTTTTGTGTTTGTTTTCATAAAATCTTCGAGTATGGGTACCCAGGTCCGTGTTTTTGAATTCATAGCATGAAATCTCAATTTTTGTAATAACAAGTTGTGATTGAGCATTCATGTTTTTCATGTTCTTCATGTTCGTGTTCTTCATGTTCTTCAGCAGAGGGAAACCCAGATTTTCCCGACTTCATTTCTTTGAATGTGGCCATCGGGACCACACCTCGGCAAGAAGGTGTGGGACCTCAGCCAAGACCTGGTTAGTGCCCAGCAAGTTTTCCCTGAGATGAGAAGCAGTGTTTTGTTTTGGTTCGACTTAGTTTTGAAGAAATGCCGAGATCATTTGCATTCATGTAAAGCTTGTTTGGTAGTGCATTCAATAGACCTTGCCATGTGTTTGTAGGACTTGGACTCTCACTTGACCCGACGTTTGAAGAACTATGTGAGTGGTATTTTTAATAAAGCTATGTTATAATGTTTGATAAGCTTTGCCTTGCTTTGTTTTGAAAAGTATTTGTTAAGCATGAATGACTATCCCTATTTTGGTGTATCGAGTATTAGCTTGAATAGACCTTGCCATGTGTTTGTAGGACTTGGACTCTCGCTTGACCCGACGTTTGAAGAACTATATGAGTGGTATTTTTAATAAAGCTATGTTATAATGTTTGATAAGCTTTGCCTTGCTTTGTTTTGAAAAGTATTTGTTAAGCATGAATGACTATCCCTATTTTGGTGTATCGAGTATTAGCTTTGGTTTTGCTCACAACCTTTGAAAGTCCATACGTGCTAGGGGACTATAAGCATTTGTAACACAACCTTTGAAAGTCCGTACGTGCTAGGGGACTATAAGCATTTGTAACACAACCTTTGAAAGTCCGTACGTGCTAGGGGACTATAAGCATTTGTAGCACAACCTTTGAAAGTCCGTATGTGCTAGGGGACTATAAGCATTTGTAGCACAACCTTTGAAAGTCCTTACGTACTAGAGGACTCTAAGCTTTTGTAGCACTTTGTTAATGTCATCCCTCGAAACTTAAAAGCCTTGAAAGACTTTGATTGTTGAAACTTGAAAGATTTGCTAAATGAACTTGATTCATCCCATGTTTTGTTACAAGCTATGATTATGTATTGTTTGTTAAAGATCTCGGATATCATTCATGCAAACCCTTTATTACTTGTACCATTCACTGAGTATCCAAGCTCACCCTCTCTATATATATGTAGGTGATGAGCAGGACGACGGCAACGCCTAGATGTGCCTTGCAACTTGTTTTGGATTCGCATTTTGTAGCATCTTGAAGATCATGCTTCTTAGTTTGCATTTCATTGTGTTTTGTATATGATGGCTTGAGAAGCCTATTGGTCAAGATGTATTTTTGTACTTCACTTTATTGTATCCAAGTTGTAAGACCTTGACAAGATGTATGTCATATCATTAGATCTATGCACAACTCTTAGGGACTAATTGGATTTAAATTTATTGCTTCCGCACTTGTTAGCCCCATATATATACTCTGATTGTGTGTGAAACCTTGTAAGTTGGCCTTTTGTAACCTCGGATTACTGGCCATCATGGCACCATTCTACTAGGGGCGGAATGGGGTCGTGACAAGATTTGCACGATTCATAGAATCGGCCGATCTCCGCTCAGATTGAAGTTGTCGGTCAGATCGAAAGACATCTCTCTCCTATAGTGTCCCGGGTCTTAGACCCAGCTTGTTTATGTTAAGTGGTAACTGTTACCTTATACTTACAAAGTTTTTTTTTTTTTTTTGACTTTTGAAAAGTTATGGGTTGCATTTACCTTTTAGTTATTATAATTGGGACCTCCTCTTCATTTTTTGGAGCCTTGATTGATGAGTTAACTTGTTGGTTGGACAAGATTAGACCAAGAATGCTGAATTTGAATATTTGTTTTGAGTAGTGTTCACTCTTTTGTCTTTTTCATTCTCTACATTTTGAATCTTGATGTGGGGCTAAAATTATTAGAAAGCTTATTTCCGAGACTTCAATTTAGACACAAAATTGACCATATTCCATTTTCGCACGAGAGATACACATGTTTGAAGTCACCCTGCAAAAGTTGTTAGGTCAAATCAGCACGATCGAAAATTTGAATTTCACAAAAGCGGATTTCGTGAGAAAGCCATTTTTTCCTGAGTTGATCCGCACGAGCTATTTTAAATTCACACGAGTGGATTTTGTACGTCTAAACATCGATTTATGTGCTCTTT